AGCAGGAATATTTATTTATTTTTACAACACAACAGCATTGTTAATGATTATTGTAATTGCATCTCATTAAATCAGCCTGCTGTGTGGAGCCACAGTCGTAAAACAGCAAAGGGCTCCAAAGATAAGCTTTTTTTTTTTTTTTTTTTTTTTTAAAAAAATAAATTTTTACAAAAAATCCCCGAAAAATAAAGTTTTTTTTTTTTTTTTTAATTTTAAAAATTCATCAAGCAGGCCGAATTAAACACCCTAGTGAGCTGGTTTTGGCCCCGGGCCATATGTTAGACACTCTTGCCTAAGCCTTAAATGCTCAACTTAACTTTGTACAACATGCTGTAAACAGGGACATCAGCCCAAGCCATGCTGCAGGAGAAAAGAAGGTATCGGATTGATGTCGGTATTCACAGATACTCTAAATTACAGTATTTGTATCAGATGTAAAAAAGTTGTCTGGAGCCATCTCTATTCTTTTTAGGCACAGTTTCAGCAGCACTTTCACATTAAAAGTTGACACACATTGAGAATATTTATCAGTGCCAATAATAGCCATGTTCCCTGGGAACCCCCAGGTATAAATAGATCTGTATCTGGAATATGTGGGTTATGTGAAAATGAGCGATGTTCAGTCCAGTGTGTGTAAAACCTGAATGAGACATGAATCCAGCTGCTGAGGCCACAACATCAGAGAGAAGTAAAAATAAACAACATCCGGACCACATCAGTGGTGAGATAAGATGGGCCCACACTGACCACTATGACTCTTCTATGGTATACAGTGGGAATGATGACGATGTATTAAAACTAACCTGACAAAACTATGACGTATGGAGGAACTGGAAGAAGGGTTTCTGGCATTAGTAAAATACTGGAATACTGGAAGGGGGTTGAATATTATTTAATGTATACAGCAGTTCCCTGAGCTACAAACATCTGACCAACGAACAACCACTGACCCACGGGGCACCTTAGGTAGTCCTAGGTTCTAAAAATAAAACTGGTCAACAAGAGGGTCAAGAATTGTACTGTTACTGTGCTTTTTGAATCAACTACACACAAGAACAGTGTCTGAGAGTGTACAACATGTCCCAGAACTAATTATTGTTACATTGTTTCAGAACTGTTCAGTCTGTACAGTCTGTATCAAACAAGTAGCTCTTCGTATGACTAACTGCCCTTGAAGTAGCTCTCAGTTTCTAAAAGGTTGGTGACCTCTGCTCTAAAGGTAAGTTACAGCACGGTGCCACAGTAGTTTTTATTATATACTGTATAATCATGTTTGTTTTTATGTCCTGTAATTGTTTCTGGTAAGTCTTAGGGAATAGTACTTTCTTATTAGGAGCAGTAACGTCATTTAAATGATCTCAAATGGCAATTATATAACGACTTACCAACAATTCAGCTTATGAACAGCCTCTGGGAACCTATTATGTTCGTAAGTTGGGCACTGTCTGTACTGTACTGTGTGTCCATGTCTAAGAGACAAAGAACAAATTCAACATTTCAAACCAGCGTTCTTCTTGCTGTAAAAGTGTTCTACCACCATTTGCCACCGTGCAGCCCGTACCCATTCTGTTTTTAAGTTTTTAACCTTAGTTCCTTTTACGGACCTCCTTCCTATTCACTGTTTTCACACTCTGCTCCAGTTTCACTGCTTTAAACTCCCCAGCAGCCATTAGTTTGGCTCTGAAGCTATATTTCATTATTACAGTAAAATAATGGTGTTCTATTTAGAGGTGTAATCACACCCCTCTCCTACCACAACTTTCAGTTCATGAGAAAAATGGCTGTGTCAGGTGTGTGTTGGGGCGGGGGTCCACCGGGACCTGGTTTTGCCAGAGTCTTCCTGGCCTATAAATCCTCCACTTCATTCTATTCATAAACACACATCTGTCTTAATGTACACACAAACACACACAGTGCACCTGACCAATGAGAGTGTGTGGCGTGGAAGCACATCACATTCTGTGTCAGCGAGCCTGTGTGAGAGAGAGGAGCAGAGCAGGAGCTGATGTTTTATGAAGGAGTGAGAGTCGCCAGCGTATTTCAGAAGTCTTACATGAACAGAGGCTCTGCAGAGAATGAGGAGGACAACAGGCCACACAGCTGAAGAGGGGCTGATGTAAACAGAGAGAGGAGCACAGCAGCTAGCTGTGTCAATAAGTACAGGAATGATGTGTTTTTCTGGATTCGGTGGCTTCTCATCATGGCAAGAGTTGGTTGTGGTTGCCCTGAACGTCTGACTTTTGTTTTTGTTTTTAAAAACCTCTCCAACAGCTCCGCCTGCATCATCACCATCTATCCACAGTGGAACTTTCCTGCTTCTCACTGTCCACTCTCAGCAGCATCATTAAAAGACATTCAGCCTCCAGCCCTGCTGCTCCCTCCCTCCAATCATCCTCTCAGTGAATTTATGTTTCCTGTTATTTGTGATCTTTGATCTGTTATCTACTTTGGTCCCAGGGTTGATATCAAGAAATGACACTCAAATCTTATTTCATCTGGGCTCACCCCGGCTCAGATGGCCAATAAATCCTATTTCCCCATCCCTGCCTTCCTCTAACCACATTAGCCAGAGCTACTACCAGGAACAAGAAAACTTAACTCACTAAAGCCTGCTAATGCCGGCTCCGTGCTTCAGAAACTTCACTGACCTGAGACAATACTGAAGGTTCACTGGTGGTCTTTCAGTGACCGAACTGTACTAACGAGCTGTGAAATCGTTCTCATTGAAAAGGAACTATCTGTGTGGTCCTTGACCTGGAGGTTTTATCACCTAAACAACCTTGGATGTTGCTTCTTACAGGAGTTCAACAATGTGCAGTCGGTTGTTGTTCACTATTGTTGCTGAAGTTCAACAGTCTGTGTTTATGGTTGTGTTTTATTGATTTATTTGTTGCTTTGGGGTTATCTTTTTTTTTTTCATTTGTCATAAAGAATCTAATAGCATTTTTTTACCTTGCTTAGCAACGTCTGTGCAGGCATACATTTATAAATGAGCATGGTTGTCAAATAGACAGTAGTGCGTGAATAAAGGTCACATTATTTTCTTGTATTTAATAATCATCGAAATAAAGCAACTTCTGCTGCTTCTAAATTATTAAGGTTATGATCAGATCTCAATGTGTATCATGTCCTCCCTTTAGTTTCCTGCCTTAACGTGAAACCACAGTGGCCTGTTGTTGTTGTTGCATCTTACACATGCACAATGCTGCCACAATCAGAGAACAGAAGAGTGTAGAGACTGACAAACTATGTCCTGGTTCCACTGAAACCCCATCACCTTCATAGCAGTGCACCACAAAGAATCCTATTCCGTATGTGACCTAGTCAACCACATTAAAAGTCTGGACCGGGGATCAACACCTGGAGAGGCTTCATGAGGCTTTTCACATAAAATGAATGAATTAATATTAATAATAATAATCAGTTCTGGGACATACAATAGCAGACACTCTTCTTACCATCGTCATTGCGCACATTTGAATATCACTGCAAGTGGAACTGATTCAAAAAGCACAGTAACAGTACAATTTTGACCCTCTTGTTGACTAGTTTTAGTTTTTTTGGAACACACCCCGGGGGTACCTTAGGTAGTCTACAGGGGCTACCAGGTGACCACATTGGCAACCCATGTCCTAGATTACGACGTTACCACTGTGTTAGTGTCGGTGAGTGACAGAAGTACTGATGTAAGTTTCGACTTGAAACGACGATGAAAATCAAGTTGATATAAGTCGAGGACCCTCTGTAATTTTCTGTACTGATGTATTAGTCTATGCCTTTAACCCATCTACAGTCACTCACACAAACAGTGGGCTACACTTTTAAGTATGGCTAGGGGACAGCAGAATTTCATTTTCATTACATGTTTTGCATTATTGTTTATTATTTCAACTCATTCTAATGATACCTTGAGTCATTTTTATATATTTTGCTCAATTAGACGTAAGAAAAAGCTTTTGGGAATATTTTTGTGCTGTTCTGTTTTGTGGCAATTATAGTTTATGGCTCAGCACAACCACTGGAAAAGTTTGAAAACCCATCTGTCTGATTAAGAGGATTTGGTTTGCCATAGAAGAAATCCTGCATGTGTTTTTGGTGTGTTTGTCCACGTGCTGTACTGTACTGTGTGTGTGCATGCGTGTGTCTTTGAATGTGATCGCATCTTGTGAGAATCTAGTGAGAGGGTAGAGAGGAAGAGAGAGACAGAGAGAGGGAGTAAGAGTTGGCAGAAGCAATGGAAAATGTGCTAGCCAGAGATGGTGACGTTGCCAAAGTGGAGAACAAACTCACTTCCTGAAAACCTATTCAACACACTGGCAGAACACTTTCTCCAACTGCTGTTGTCTCTTGTTCTCTCTCGCTCTCTCTCTGAGAGTTTGTTTTTAATTCTCCCTTTTTCTGTGTGACACTTTTGAAAGGCAGTTCTCATAGTTATCAGGAAAGGTGAAATTCAAACAGAGTTCATCTGATGACGTTATAGAAAAGTTAATTAACAACATGACACAGAAGGGTAGGAGTGGGTTCACTGACTAAAACATAGACAATATGGGAATGAAAATGTCTAAATAAGTAAAATATTAAATGTAGCGTGACAATAGATAAAATAAATAAATAGTTTCAGTCAACAAAGCAATATAAGCACAATTTAACAAATAAGGTTAACACTGGAGAAAACAAAAATCTAAAAATTATCATCACAGAAATAGCTAAAGGCTAGCTATGAAGAACATGAAGAAGTTTACATTAATAAGAGCAAAATACTGCACAGCAAAAGAAAAAAAAGATTAAGTTAACCTAAATACAGAAACTCAAGCTCATGTTAATTAGATACAGTAAACACTAACATACCTGTACATTGAAGTAAAGTTTAGTAAAAGTTTCCTCATATTTCTGGGCAATTCAATCATTTAGTTAAAACTGCAAAAATAACAATTATCTTATAATCATTTAAATACACATGAATAGTATTTTTGCATAAGTAATCTGATAACTACTGTTGAATCAACCAGATCACTGATAAAGGTCAAAGATCATATAAAGACAAAAATCTAAACACAACAAATGAATTATAAAATAATCAGTTATAAAAACGATCTGCCTACTAATTCAGTCGTTAGCTGCAAATTAAAGCTGCATTGGTTTTAAGTTTTAGTAAAGTAGCGAAGTCCTCAAATATCCAGGAGGAAGTTTAGGAAAAATACTTTGATGAAATCTGAAGAAATACAATGTAAATCAGGACAGCCGCTGGCTCGGGGCCTTTCTTCTTACAGTTAGAAGACCCTCAGATCAAGCCCTGGTGGGAAGTAATGATGAGTGTCTGTATGTATGAGTCTGGATGTTCTCTTTGTGTGTGGGTTGGTTTTCTCTAAGAATGTATCCAATAAAACCTGCAGGCTTAGATTGAAACTGACTGTCGCTGTGGATGGGCCTATCCTGCCTCACTCTGATTGGCTGCAGCTCTGAAGGCACAATGTTAGGCAGCGGGTCCACTCAGCACCTCCGTAAGATTGCATCCAGCACCAGTCATACTATCCCCTGCTGAGCCATGTGACCTATTGTAAGTGTACGTTTTTACACTTTCAGTCAGACCAACAAGTTTCACCATCAGACGTTTTGTGCAGAAGCTGTCATTACTTCCAGTTTAAATCACATGCTAAGCTTCGTTGTCAGACTAGAATGAGCAGAGAAGCTACTTAAGCCTGAGGGTCTGCCTTCTCCCCTTTTCAAGGAGTGGAATAAAACAGAGTAGAGGAGTAGGGAAGAAATAGAGACGTTGGACTCTCCAGGTAAAACAAGCCAACACAGAGGAAAGCACACAACACCACAAGGGGAAAAGTCTCTCCCTCTTTCAAACACATTTTCTGGCTCACTGCATCCTTTTAAAAACATGGCAGACAGCAGTCTGGTCAAAGATTTGCCAGTAACTCAAAGAACGATGAAACCAATAAACTCATAAATGTCTCCTCAAATGCTCCATTTCTTCTGCCTCCTGTCCATTTGGGCTTCATATACCTGGGCAATTGGTTCCACCAACTCCTGGGACTTCACTTTTAGGAACCTGAACCATTCTTCACAAAACTTTTTATGTTTTTTATAGCAACCATTATTATTTTTCCCATGATGCAAGTCACTGATTTTGACCATTTCTGATACTGTTATTTTCAAATCCAATATGAATCCCTGCTCCATGCTCTATTTATAACACTTCCAAATGTTATCTGCAAAAGATGAAAAGCAGCTTAGTACCTTCTTACAGTCTGGGAGATGACAGCAGGCTGATCCACTGCATTAACATACACTCTGAACTAAGACGAGATAACACCTTTCAGTAGCTTTTCCATCTAAATGGAACCTGACTGTCACTGCCAGTGAAGCGTGTCGACAAACACTTACACCGCCTCTATAATAATATTCAAGGCCACACAATGGCAGCAGAGCAGCAGCCTCTCAGCCCTCTGTCCAACACATCGGTGCAGAGAACAGAGGTGAGGAGATGGTATTGTCCCCTCAGACACAGGACTGACAGTGTTTGCTCAGCTCGGTACACAAGCACTGAGGCCACTGTAAAAATAGAACTGGGAGCAGAGTCTGCTCCCTTAGACAAGGATGAAATGTGAAAGTGGAGAGTGTGTCACAACAATTTGGATTTACAATAAAGGCTGTGGTCAGAGGGACATGATGGACACGGTCACACCGACAGCCTGGATGTCATCATCGTCAGCTGTCTCTCTGCTCTGCCCGTTTTTAATCTGGTTTATCCACTGAAGAACTGGAGCAGGAGTTTATCAAACATTTATCAATGAAGATTAAATAAAATCTTAGAATGTCCGTCAAATTATTCAACCATTTTATCGGTCCAAGGTGTTTCTGCTTACGATCTACAGCTGGTGTCTTTTGATGACTTTCTTATAGTAGATTTACCACTATGCTACATCCTGATTAGTTTGTTCTGGTCTTTTGGACAGTACTGCTGTCTCCAGACCAGAGGTCTACTAGCCGTGGCTCTTGTTCTATATGCCTGTCTATATCTTCATCATATTAAAAAACATTTCACATTTTCTAACAATATCACATTTACAACAGACACTGTTTCTTTGTTACTGTGTACATCTTTGAGAGAAGGTCTAAGGTCTCTTTCCACACAGACGGCCGGGTTCAAGCGTGCACTCATTCAGATGAGATCAGAGCAGGACTGTCACTGAAAGGTCAGCTGGGAGATAGAGTGTGATATCTTGACAGAGGTGACGTGTTGGGAGACACAGACTCACAGATTTGTGACAGTTTGCATACACAAAAGTAAATACAGTAGATATAGATTTAAAACATGTTTTTCTTACACGTCCAAAATGAAATGTAAACACGTGCCGTTAAACAAATATAAATAATTTGTCCTGTATTAACAATAGCACAACGTAACTCCATTTGCGCCGTAGGTCGGACCGCACATACTGTACAATAGTACGATACATGCCAACATTGTAGATTGCCAAACTGGTACACTTCCAATTTTTTTCTAACCAAATATTTTGGATAGCCTTGTTCCTGGGAGTTTGGGCCTACATTTCCAAGAATGTGTCGCAGTGATCACGCCAACTGCCAGTTACTTCCGGGATGAGGACGTCACATAATGAACCGGTAGTTTCGAACTCCAAATGTCAACGATTTGGCGTTATAGTCGGGTTTCACGTGTTCATTTTTTCGAGTTAAAACCTAGCACGGAAAATTGGCGGTACATTGTCGGCCGGGACCGGTACCGCGGTAAGTTTGGTGTTAAATCGATACAGTATCACGTCGGTACAGTTGGCAAGTGTGAAGTACATATGACACTAACCTACACTGACACAGTTGTAACATCAAAATCTAGGACATAAAAATATCAGAAGAGTCTGACTTACGTTTGGAGCCATAAGGAAGAGAAACGTGGTACAATCCAATGTATGGCGTACAACTGGCGAATTTAAACAAAGCTGCCTTCCGTTTTTAGTGCGTATTCGTCCGCTCCCGTAGCCAGCTAGTTCCGGTGCCGAATTTGTTTTAACGCCGCACGGGAGAATGATGGAACAAGACCTCCTCAATAAGTCTACAGGAGATGGAGACTCAACCATGAAACGCTATTAACGAGGACACCATAAAACGGGGACACCATTATAACTACAATGAACTCTACAAATGTATAAAATATGTTAACAGTTGTGTTCCACATTCTTGTTCTTGGTTCTATAATTTGACACACCTATTTGTAGTTGAGTTTCAACATTATTCAAATAAAATAAGAAAATACCCCTGCACAAGTTTGACCTGTTGTTTAATGTTTTGAACACTAACACAGTTGTATTGTTGGCAGCTGGTCAGGTACAGTTGGCAATTATTATTTAGCAATAGAAGGTCACCTCTATAAAATAATTAGTGTTAGAATAGTGTGTTGTGACATAGTTTTTATTTATTAGTAAATAATTAATCTAAAATTGTTATATATAATCCATCCATCCATTTTCATCCGCTTATCAGTTACCGCAGTCTCCATGATCGTCACCCAAATCACACTGCACTATACCAACCCTGCGGGTGGTGAGTTTACTGGAAGGTACCAACCACCCTTTCCAGGATTTGATTTTGCCCAGGAGGTGAACCCTGAGGTTCCACACCAATGACAGAGACATTGACTCTGGGCCAAAGCACCACATTTTATATGTAATATTTTTATATATATTGTCAATATATAAATACATGCATATGTGCTCTATTTGTCTTTATATAAATATATATTCAGAATAGTTGCATAATTTAATAAATAATTTAATAAATTGGCATGCACTCTGTTTTTTATTCTAATTCAAGTCTAAAAAGTTTAAGAATGAAACATTTTTAAATCCATCCACTTCTGTTACAGAAAACCAAAAAAGAACTCATCATCCAAAGAATTGGTAAGATTCCATAATGTTAGTTGAAATAATGGAAAAATATAAAACCCTTGAAAGGTGGACAAAGACCTAAATGGCTAAAATTAGCCAAGATGGCCACAAATCACTAAGCGTAATCAAAAATGGCCAATGCTAGCTAAAAAGGTTAAACTTTTAAAAAAAAAAACATAAGCATTGTCCTGACTTTATCAAACAAAGTCCAAAAGTGTAGGCAACAATAACTCAATAATAAACAGGATTTTGCCTCTCTTTGGTTCAAGGGTGACTGAATGAATAAGCAGAGGACACGTGTGTGGGACCTGACTCAAGCGCGTTTTTATTGAATGTTCATAACTGTTAAAAACATGTATAAAATTGGTCCTGTTTCAGAAACAAGGCACGCATAGTCATGTCATTGTTCAGTGATCATGTCATTATTAGCATTGTCATATATCATCACCATAAACATCATCAGCATTATCATCAGCACATGTCATCTCAGTATTTGTTCTAATAGTAGTATCAAGCATTCCCTAATATAAAAACACGTTCCAATTTTTCATTTTTCTTTTTTGTACTCCACAGGTTAAAATGTTTTTATTCCGAGCAGCAAGACAAAACTCATGCAAAGACGGGAGTTTGGAGGAGATGCGAGCTGGACAGGACTGACTGGGTCTTTAATAGTAGGTCTCCCGTTCCACCCATCCTGGAAACACAAAAAGAGAAAACACACACACACACAAATGATTGAACAGCAACAGCAGAGAGGCAGTAAAAATAATCAAAACCTTGCGTTGTGTGCTCACCTCCTGGGCTGCGTCTGAGGATCAGCTTTCGAATTTCATCGTAGATAAAGATGAGCAGGGAGTAAGGGAAGGCGCAGAACCACCAGTTGGGCCTGGAAAAAAAAAACGCAGGAGTTTCAGATATAACACGGTCAGTGGAGTAAACCCACAGAGGCCAGGTTTCTGGGGGGTTTTACTCACTTGAGTGGGTACATTCTGAGGGCCACATCCATGCCAGGGCAGTAGGAGAGGAAGGCAGCCAGAGCGGTCTCTTCAAACAGTCCAAAGATCAGGATCTTGTTCCTAAAACACACACACAGGACATCATTTTAGGAAAATGGACACTGAATGTGCTCCAAAGTGCTAAATTTAACCACCTTGGTCATCTTCATCAGATTTCACACAGTAACCAAACACAGTCTGCCAACACCCATTTTACGTCATATTGTTTAAAAAAAAAAAGTCAAAAACAAACAAAAATAGTCTAAAAAATGAAATGGTCTCTTATTGTCCAAAAATATATATAAAAAATTCTACTCACAAAAAACTAAAAAAAAAAAGACTAGAATAATGAAATGTTGATAATTTAAAGCCTAGTTAGATAAAGTACGTCAAAAAATAAAAAATAATAATTAGTAAGCTAAAAGTTGGCCAAAAAATACAGTAATAATTAATGAATTCCTGGGTTAACCACAGTAAAATCAGCCTTTACTGTACAGTATTTGATTTTAAATGAAATACTAAACAAAAAGTGAAGTAAAGCACTAAACAAAAAAACAAAACAAAAAAACCAAAATGAGACATAATTCAAAAGATTAGCCAAAAATAGCTAAAGCTAACCTAGAGATAGCATAAGGATATAGGATTATGAAATAATAGAGAAAAACTTTGAAACCTTGAAACATAAGTTAAAAAAAAAAAATCAGCAGGTTCACTCGTGTGTGCACTCACTTCATGCCCTGCTGGAAGACAGAGTTCCTCCTGGTCTTACAGATGATCAGATCGGCCCACTGCACGACGACGATGCTGGCGAAGAAGGCCGTGTGGCAGGTGAACTCCACGATCTTCCTCTGCTCGTAGGTCTGTCACAAACACAAGGACATGTCAAAAGTTTTCACCCAGCAGGTGTAGCAGCATGTGGAGGTGTCACAGGTGCCCGGTACAAGTTACTGACCCACTGCTGCCCATAGCTGTCCTCTAGGTCATTGACGTATTTATTATCCCAGGACACTCTGATGCCCAGCAGGGTGGATGGCAGGAAGCCGTTCTCAGCCAGGATCACAAAGTAGGTGAAGAAGCCTGCCAGTGCCTGGATCATACCTGCAACAAGAAAGGAGAGGAAGATGAGGATGATGATGATGATGATTTTATCTCCTGACAACCAAAAAATCTGTCATCATCACAAAAAGAACACCAACACTCACTTCTCACTTCTTCATCCGTGCTAGCCTATTTCTGGTGCGTACCACTTTTAATTTTATCTTGGATAATACTACTTTCAATCTACAAAGATCCGCAGAGGAACGATGAAGGTTAATGGTTGAAGAATGTGTAAAATGTAAAAAATGAAAAACCTACCGATCTGTCCGTAGGCGATGCTGATCAGCCTCTCGTTTACCAGTTTGTCTGTTTTGGGGTTTCGGGGCTGTCTCTTCATGATGTCACTCTCAGCTGCTTCATAGGCCAGAGAGATGGCAGGAACCTGAGAGAAGGCAAAGCATGACCAGGAATATAGAGAACACACAATGGGATAAGTCATCCAGACAGATGTGTCCCTCAGTACTCACCATGTCAGTTCCCAGGTCGATACAGAGGATGGTGACTGTTCCCAGGGGCAGAGGGATGTTGGCGATGATGAACAGCAGGAAGGGAGTGATCTCTGGGATGTTACTGGTCAGAGTGTAGGCGATGGACTTCTTCAGGTTATCAAAGATCAGACGACCTGAGGAGAAGAGTTACATAAAAGGACTGAGGACATTTGTCATGAGACCAGTCTGTGTAGGTCAGTCGTGTAGAACCACTGACCTTCCTCTACACCGGTGACGATGGAGGCGAAGTTGTCGTCCAGCAGGATCATGTCAGCAGCCTGTTTGGAGACGTCAGAGCCGGCGATGCCCATGGCCACACCGATGTCGGCTTTCTTCAGAGCAGGAGAGTCGTTCACGCCGTCACCTGTCACAGCCACGATGGCTCCCTGCAGACAGAACAGGAAGTGTTCAGGAGGTGAAGTTCCTGTTCAGCTACATCCTTATATACAGCTGTGGCTGTCTTTTAGATATTTAAGCTACTTTTTGGCTAAATCGGGTTATTTCAGTGGATTTTAGGTAGTTCCAGCTCATACTTGGCACTCAGACATGTTAAGCAGGGAAGGCTCAACCCGATACTCAGGATCAATTTAGTCCATGATTTATCCAAAACAACTGTGCAACAATCTGAGCACGACACAAGAAAAAAGAGGGAAAACCACAAATCTGTCCTGTTAATAGATGAATATACAAACTCAAGAGTGAGCTCACACTTCGACAGCTGCTTATATACTGTTGACAGTCATCAGACTGAAGCGCAGTTGGAAATTAAATATTTATGCTCACACTTTACATAAAAGGATGACCACGCAACACGCTGCAAAAACAAAAAAAAAACATTAAAAAAACTGAAGTGAAAACATCACTACACACCCACATACAGAAGGAGAAAGAGACAGAGATATAGAGGAGAGCTTGTTTTTCATGTACCTGTCTCTGACAGCCCTCCACGATAATCAGCTTCTGCTGAGGTGAAGTCCTGGCAAAAACAATCTCAGTGTGATGCTGGAGGATGTCGTCCAGCTGCTCGGGACTCAGGTCTTTCAGGTCTCCACCGTGGACCACACAGGCCTTGGCATCCCTGGAATACATACAACAGCCTGTTCAGTCAAATGGACTCCAGCGTTGTGGACCCACTGTCCACTCAGACACAGACAGAGGTCAGTACCTTGGGTTGACCTCGTTGATTGGGATGTTTAGACGAGCAGCGATGTCCTCCACTGTCTCGTTGCCTTCAGAGATGATTCCGACACCCTTAGCGATGGCCTTTGCTGTGATTGGATGATCACCTGTCACCATGATGACCTAATCAATCATAAGTGAAGTGAATGGTTAATATTTATTCAGTGGAAACACAGGATCTTTAGGTTATTTAGGTTGGTATACCTGTCTACATGACATTGTGAAAATATTTGCATTTTAGATGAATATTGGATAATTTACTATCTTTCTATTTCTGCCTTACAGCTAGCTTAGCTTAGCTTTGATATAAATAACAGTCTCTGGTAAACCTGGGTATTTTTAATTTTTATGAATTTACTTTTTGCTTTAGGTAAGAGTAGGGGGAGAATATCAATATACTGAAATATCACAATATTTTGTTTTACTACACAGATATTTGATATTGACATTCTACTGCACTGTATCAATTCTTATTACCGGTTAACATTCAAATATTCTTTTTCTATTTTGGTTTTATTTCTTCTCTAGAGATTACAAATGTAGATCCATCTGTTTCAATTGTGTTCCTACAATAAACTTTTAAAAACAAAACTCAATATGTCACTGTCATCGCAGTTAATGACAATATACTGTGTCATTGCCCCTGTATCATGATACCTATGGTATCGCCAGACTCTTGCTTTTTTTAAGCCATACCTTGATTCCAGCGCTCCTGCATTTTCCGACAGCATCAGGCACAGCAGCACGAGGAGGGTCAATCATGGATATGAGGCCGATGAAACACAGGTTGTCGGTGGGGAAGTTCACTTCATCAGTGTCAAAGGCAAAGCCTTCTGGGAACTGGTCATCAGGCAGACTGAAATGGCAGAAACCTGGAAAGAAGACAGCATAATCAGATGAAGTAGAGTGAGTCGCCACAGCAACTCACAGTAATTGTGTTACCACTCACCCAGTACTCTCTCTCCCAGTCCTCCCAGTTCCAGGTAAGCGTTCTGGAAAGCGTCTTTCATCTCATCATCCAGGGGCTGCTCTTTGCCCTGAATCATGATGCTGGAGCAGCGGTCCAGAATCCTCTCTGGAGCTCCTTTCATCACCAGCAGATGTTTGGACTCTCCCTCGGACGCTGCAACCTTATGGATAGAGAGCTGGAAGCACATGAGGTCAGAGTTAGCATCCCAGCAGATGTCTTTTTCATTTCTTGGCACAGGCTGAAGGATGGCAGTATCATCAACCAATGTCAGAACTTTCACATACCTGGTACTTGTTGGTGGAATTGAAGGGAATCTCTGCAATTTTGGGGTTCTTCTCTCTCATGCCCTGGACTGATCCGCAGCACAGTTCGATGCACTTCAGCAGAGCCGACTCAGAAGCATCACCAGCCACGTCTCTCTGAAGCCCAGAGGACATTGACATTGTATTATTGACAGGATGTAAGGACAGTATATAGTGATATCAAAAGATTTTAGATAATTTTGCCAAAATACTGTAAAGTGTAACTATTTTACACAAACAGTGACAGTGGAATATTTTTTTCTCATCAGTAAACATGTGTAATAAATCTGGTAAGCCTCTGTTTCCCTTTGGCTAATTACTGCATTTAAACAAAGACATGAAGAATGATCAGCACTTGTTTGTGTAACTGCTTAATCAAGAATCACTGCTACATGAATATGGGACGAGGAGTCACAGCGAACATTGACTCCATTTAGATCAGGGGTCACCAGCTTTATTTATCAGAGGGTCAGGATTTTCCTGGACAAACCCCTCAGGGGCTGGACATTCACATAGAATAAAATATAAATCACATATTTGTCAAACAATATGTAAGTAGAGTGAGTCTCAGTTGTTGTTTTTTTACAGTTATTTTTCTTTTTATCCTCACAATTTTGGAATCCAGTCGTGACATTTTTACCTGTTTGTTCACATACAACATATTTTATAAAATGAAAATATATATATAAAAAATTATATTTTATCTTATTGTTATGTCATTTTTCCATCATAAAGGTTTAACTACACAAACACATTGTTTACCTGCTAACACTGCAGTATTAATGACAGTGTCGAGAAGATCACGGGCAGTGAGAAAAGATGACTGGTAATTAGAGCCACGATGGCAGACATGCACGTTTACAGGTGATTATCACACACACACACACACACACACACACACACACACACACAGATACAGTACATAACACTGGGTGGAAACATAAGCATGGGCTCCAAGACAAAGAACCAAGAGACTCACCAAGTGTGTTTCCAAAAAGGTGGGGTTAGCAATAATAAGGTGTGTGTGTGTGTGTGTGTGTGTGTGTGTGTGCATGTTTACACTCCTGGGAGTCATAAGATGAAAAACAAGCCTGTTGGTCTAAGTGGTAAACATCCCTCTGGCAGTAACGTTAATTCATATATCATTTCCAATATCTCTTTCAAAATAATTGCTGTTAATGCTGCAGAATCAATTATTTAAAGACTGAAATTGATTCTCGGTTATTAGGGTTTTTTATACCTTTCACTAAATACTATTTTTAAATACCAGCCATCTCATTAATAGTTTATCAGGTGTGGATCCGTTCATTAATAAGGTGTGTAATTCCCAGCTCCAGTGTGTGTCTTTGTGATACAAAAGCTATTGATTTAGAAATGTGTGTGCATGAATTAGCTGTGACTGCATTGATTAAGGAATGTAGAAAAGTTGAGTAAACCTTCAGGATGGGAACGTTGCTTTGCTCAGCCAGGAAGACGGCACGGTTGCAGAGTCCAGCGACCCTGGCCAGACCAGCCCATGTGGCAGAGCTCCTGTCGAAGGAAGCTCCACTCTGGTTCTCCGTGGTGTCGGCCTCGTGGATCTGGTTGTCAAACCACATGTGGGCTACGGTCATCCTGTTCTGGGTCAGGGTTCCGGTTTTGTCAGAGCAGATGGTGGAGGTGGATCCCAGGGTCTCCACAGCTTCCAAGTTCTTCACCAGGCAGTTCTTCTTGGCCATGCGCTTAGCAGTCAGGGTCAGACACACCTGGAACGGACCATGATTGTAATCTTTCTGCTAAATGAACCCAGGATTAAACGTTCACATACTGTAGTGAAAAGACCAGGACTCACGGTGACAGTGGCCAGGAGACCTTCTGGCACGTTGGCCACGATGATACCAATGAGGAAGATGACGGCCTCCAGCCACGAGTATCCAAGGATGAGTGAGAGGACGAAGAAGGAAACACCCAGAAAGACAGCGACACCAGTGATGATGTGGATGAAATGCTCAATCTCAACAGCAATGGGGGTCTTTCCACCATCCAGACTGGAAGCCAGCGTGGCGATACGACCCATGACAGTATGGTCACCAGTGTTGATGACGATTCCTCTAGCAGTACCTGGTGAGAGTTCCAGTGCCAACGTTAATCACCAAGAATGCACACAGCTCTTGTAAATCCTACTTAAAAAAAAAGAAGACAGTGTCTTTACCTTCAACACAGTTGGTGGAGAAGAAAGCAATGTTCCTTGTCTCCAGTGGGTTGTCATTGGAGAAGTCAGGAGTACGAGTCTGTGGCTCTGATTCACCGGTCAGAGAGGAGTTGTCCACCTAAGGAATGAGTCATCAACTATGAAAAATAAAGTTGTACACATTTTCCCCACAAAAAAACCCCAGAAACATCTAAAAGTACTAATTAGGTCCAGCAGCAAACCGAAATTCATAAAGTCGTGATTTCCCTTCACTATTTTGATCATTTTTAAACAGAAGGACACACCTTGCAGCCGTGAGCAGAGATGATCCTCAGATCAGCAGGGATTCTGTCTCCACCTTTCACCTCCACAAGGTCTCCAACCACCACCTCCTCAGCGTTGATGCATTTCTTCTCTCCGTCACGGACAACCAGGGCTTGCTATAGGACAAAAATTGAAAAGGAGAAGACAAACAGTGAGTCACCAACAGCTTGGTTTGGTGAAAATGGAATCTTAACCTTTGTCATTGCTACTAGCTTCAAATGAAAGTTCAAGGTGATGTCATGTTCAGGGTTCACCTGTGGGACCAGGTTCTTGAATGAATCCATGATCTTGGAGCTCTTGGCCTCTTGGTAGTAGGAGAAGCAGCCAGTGATGATGACGACAGCAGAAAGCACAACACCCAGGTACAACTGCGGAGATGAAGATATGATACAAAGTGACATAAGGCAGGAGGAAAAATCTGTTTCATCCTTCTTTGCTGCCATATAATAGAGACATTGTGACATTGGCCTTGGCAGCTAGTCATTGTGACATTTTTCATCCAGCCACTGGGAAATCATGTGGCAAGTTGTCACATAAAAACCGTCACACAATCCTCTCAAGGACCCCTTCTTACATTATCGTTTGCAGGCTCATCCTCCATCACAGCCTGAATACCGTAGGCCAGGAAACAGAGGATGGCGCCAGTCCACAAGAGCATGGAGAAACCACCAAACATCTGGATGAAAAGATGGAGCAGCAGGAAGTTTTAGCATACTCACCATTAATTTTATGTGGTCAAGAAAAAACACTGTTAAAAACTGGATGTGCTGTTACCTGTTTGCAGAATTTGACCCATTCTGGGGTGGTGGGAGGAGGAGTGAGGGCGTTGGGTCCATCCCGAGCCAGATTCTCAGCAGCCTTAGCACAGGTCAAACCCTGTGTAGAGAGAAATTAAAAATTCACAATAAAGAAGGCTAAGATGAGGCTAATAGAATCATATGAAATCGGGACAGGAGAGAGGTTTTTTTGCAGCTAATTAATTATTCATAACTGCTGCATGCATGCACACGCAGAGCTTGGAGACCCCAGGTTTAGAGGAAGTCATTAACTATTCTCCTTGATTTTCACTGCATGACCAGGAGCACATTTGCATGAGAAGAAAGAGGGGGTTACACAAGAGTACTGTGAGTAGTGTGGGGGGTGGAAGCTGTGTCTTAAAGAGAGAAATGTTTGACTAAAGCACAACAACACAGACCATCGCTGCTGTTTATGGAATTCTGTTAATCAGTTTAATAGGTTTTATTAAATAAATTAATGGAAGCTCAATTTCACCGCAAAATAATAAATATGTATTTAAAAGGTAAATGTCACCACCTTCATTCAAACTACATTTTGGTTGGAAATATTTGATATTTTGGTGGGCTCTTCTCATAAGCCCTGGTAGTTATAGTTGTCTCCGACCTATATCTTTGGCAAAAATAATTTAACTTTGAAGTTTTTTTTATTATTATTTAGATTTTATTATAGGACCTATAGATTAACCAAAGCAATTCTGGTGTTCTTCATTGACCTGACCCTGCACTCAGAGTGCTCACCAGTTCTTCTACAGTATGTGGGCTATGAAACTCATTCCTCCCACATTGAAATGATTTGGCATTTAGATAAATCTATGCAGCTCATTTAGAAGTTTAAACGATTTTGCAACAATATTCCCTCGTGTGGCTTAGACTCAGTGTAAACATAAAGGTCATGACTAGTAAAGATCCAGTTTATTAAAAGCTGTGGAGGCTGATCAGACCATCAACGGCCTATCCAACCATCATGTGAGAAGATCTATTCCCTCCATCGACAAAGGCCTTGGTTAGATTCATCCAAGTCTCATTAATCTTTCATTAGTTAAAATGTCAGCTGAATAGAAAAGTGGAACTTGGCAGCAAACGGCAGCTGATGAGCTCCTGATATTTCCATCCATCTCCGTGATAAAGGAGGACACTTTGAAAGAAATACTTCTCCTCACTATTACATCATGACGCCAGGGTCTGGCAGGCTGAATTATGTCCAAAGTCAGAGTTTACTCTTTGTCTCCACTCACGTTGCTGAGGTCGGTTGCATATTTGCGGGCGAGCTCATCCAGAGTCAGTTTGTGATCATCCTGAAACAAAAGAACGTGAGACGGCCTTAGTGCACACTCATAGTCATCTCTGTGCGTGTGTGCGCTCCATATGTCAAAGTGTCAAAGGACAGGGACATTGGCAGCACAATGTGTGACGACCTTCATTTTGATAATGACAGCCTCTCAAGATGTGGAGCTGCAGATTCGGATCACGACAGGCCACAGAGGGAAAAGAAAAAAAAAAATCAACTGAGATGAGACTCACCATATCTACTTCCTTCTTCAGTTCATCCATATCCTTCTCTTTCTTCTTCCCCTTCCCCTTCTTCTTACCGCCCTGCTCTGAGGTCGCAGCCAGTTCATACTGCTCTCGTCCGTCCTGGAAAACAAAGTCAAAACACCACACCAAATGTGAAAAAGCGACTTTTTCTATGATCAATCCAAAATTCTACCTTAAACAGTCTTGCAGGTTTCCTAGGCAAGTTCTTTTGAATGTCAACTCTGCTGCGGCCAGTAATGGACCGCAGATGTGAGGGACGTGAGGGACGTGAGGACATGATGTCTTGATCATAGTCTAGGTTTGACAACCGTGGAACTAATGACTTCAATCGGAAATCCAGAATCAGAAAATGCCATGCACAAGAACCATGTAATACAAGGCAATGAGGAAATGTTTTCCAGATCTGCCACACTCTATTAGCACAAAAACACAAGAATACACCAGTGATGGAACAAAGGTAGGAAGGATCAAAGCATGTCCAACTGACCAGGAACTCAGCTTTCACACACAAGACATTAGAGATGAGGTGTTAAATCAGAGGCACTCAAAGCTGTTCATATGATCTTATAAATACCATCAACATGTGGGTAAGAAACTTTAAATGGACTTTTACAAAAATGACCAATTCAATTATATCAATTATTGAGCATTATCTTAATTAATAAAGAAGAAACAGTTAACAAAATATATCTATAAATATCCAGAAACTCAAGCTAAGACCAGAAACAGCTGCAAAATAAATACAAAATATAAACAAAATAAGGATGCATTTATTTATTTTGATGAAAATATATATTATATCTATTAGATGAAATGAAGATAATAATTAATTATAATTTACTATCCTGGTTGGAAAAAAAACATTTACTTAATATTAGACAGATTCTGAGCAACAAGTTGCAAGAGAAGAGTCCAAGAAGAACAAGTCAGGACGTTCAGTATTGTAGCATTGCTAACAATATTGATGCTAGGTTGTTGCTTTCTCTAAACCATTCAAAGTCTACTTGGTGCAAGTAAAATGAAGCTAAGGAGCAGCTGCAAGAGGGGAAATTCGAAAGGGTGGAGCAAGGTCTATGTGGTTCTTGGTCAGTTAGAAGATAAACTTTTTTTCCCATGGTGAAAGAGATTACAGTCTTGGGTGAAACTAATTTTCACTTGTTTAAACGTCTATTCAGAAGTAAATACAGGGAGTTTGGATTCATCCACAAACATTGTCTCAGCTAAAGCCAAACGTTCATTTACTGGTGACCAAACCATGAAACATTTTGTTGATTTTAATCCCAATTGGGTCAAGATAGACCAAAAAATGTCGCACAGAGGTCACCAGAAAAACAAAAGTAAGGCCGAGAACTCAGTAATTAGCAAACACATGGACATTGAATTCCCTGTCTCCTTCCATCTCCTGACCACTGACACCCACTGTTATTATCAGCAGTCACTGTAGACATCAGAGCACCAAATGGATGGGTGGAGATGGTGCTTTGTACGAGGGTGTGTGTGTGTGAGAGAGTGACTGAAAGGAGGCAAGATAAAAGGTGGAAAAAATAGACTGAGACAAAGAAGGTGGGGGTGGGTGGGCTAGGAGGCCCTGGAGTTGAATAGAACAAAACTAAACCCATATCCCGACCCCAGGATTTTTCCCTCTGTTGTGCTCCAGGTTCAGCCAGGTGAAAAGTGAAAGTAATCTGTGTCAGCCAGTCCCTCTATGCTTAAAGTGGACAGTGTCACTAAAGTTGTTTTGCCGTTAGCATCTAAGCTAACAGACGTCTTGGGTAAAGTTTAAAAGTCTAAAAAGCAGAAAATGTGGAATTTCACATTGATAGTCTTGTCTGGGGAGTGTCAATGCTACTGTCTGTGTCTGTGTAAGACAATAACAAAGTACAATTGTAAAGAAATATTGTAATTTCAAGTTTTTCACACTGGTTGAAATGTAGATAATTAACTTTTACACATACATGCACACAACTAAGTCAGGAAGACTTCAGGGAAAGAAACATCTGATGAACTTGATCTTCTAAAGCTTTAAAGGTGTGGTCGAACTTTTCAAAAAAATAAAAAATAAAGCTAATCTTACTCTCATTTCCTACATTTTAAAACTAAACATTACCAGTATTACAGCAAATCTCTTTGTTATACTGTGCTACCAACCGGTGATATGACCTATACTGCCATCAGCATAATCACTGGCTTGGATTTGTGTTCCTGTCATGGCGACCTTGTGGTGTGGCAGAAGTACGGGGTGTTACAGGATGACATTGGAGATTCACCCACACCATAGTAACCATTTATAGACATGGTCCCAGTCATGGAAATAGGAAGAACACTATTGTTTTCCTATCACAAGAGGCTTTTAAGGTTTCCCAGCGAGCCATCAGAGCAGTGTGTGTGTGATCCCAGCACATGTTGTTGTTCTTGCTCCAGCCCCCCTGGCCTGTTAAGCTGGGAAAACACTAAGCCAGGTTCTGGACCACTGTGGCCACGGCTCAGCCTCTGGACCCCCGACAGAACCCTCGGGGCCATCTGGCTCTGAGAAAATAATCCCAACACTGGACCAGGGCCTGTGCACTTACTCCCAAAGGACGAACAAGTGGTTTCCTCAAAAGTATAAACAAAAAACTAAACTTCACTGAGTTTCCTTCAAATATGATTTTTGATCAAAGGATGCAGAGCTGTAGATAGTCATTATAAACAACTAGAGTTTGTTTTAGGCCAGAGGAACAAATGCAAATTTGCATATTCTGTAACCTGAATGGTTACTGAATTCCTAAATTTCCCTAAGGGAACTCCCGAGGGATTAATAAAGTGCTATCTATCTATTTATCTATGTGCGATTAATAAAGTGCTATCTATTTATCTATGTATTTATCTATGTGTATAGTTGCAGTCCAACACTTTTTATGTCTTTGGTTCCTTGAAAGGTTTGCAAAGTAATCATTTAGAGAATTTATGTTGTCAAGATCCAATTTTTGCACTCTCTGTGTGTGTAAAACAAACAAGGCTTAGAGAAAAAAACGCTCCTGCTGATAATGTGGGATTACAGGAAAATATTTGTTACCCCAGTGTAAATACAGGCAGCTGCTTTAAGCACGTTGTTTCTTTGACATGAATCCCATAACTCTTCTGTAATTTCTTTGGAGCTGCTTTGAATGCTGTTTTTATATTAAGATGAATCATTTTGGTCTATAAAGTTCGACTCCTGAATACTGCATGAATATTTGACCCAACTCCTATAGACGTTAAACAATGACCCCAACATGACCGCAACTCAATGAGTTGGCCTCGCAACAACAACTGAAATAACAAGCTGTAGCTTAACCTGTTCACCACAACTCCTGGTGAAGAAAAACAAGGCACGGCCATTGTCTGACGGTCATTGTCTGACGGCCTTATCGGTCTCTTCATGCTCTATTAAGGTATTAGAGCTGAGTCAACTTCTGATTTATTCAACTGGGTGACACGTGTCACATTAGTCTCAGCCCGACCGCTTCTGTCAGCCAGACATTAACAAGATTCAAGGATCCAAATAATGTTTTAACATTACTACAAAAAGTGATTTCAGAGGCAACATCATAAACATGAGGACATTCTAGTAGAGAATATTATTTACCAACTCTGATGGGGGTAAAATGGTGTAAGATTAGTAAATCAGACCTAAGATCTGCTACAGAAAAAAAAATGAAATACAGGAACTTTCAAGGTCAGAGACAGCACCTAAACCTAGAACAGAAGAGGAGTGGGAGGGAAGACTTAACAAAGAGGGTGTGAGAAGGAACAAAGAGAATGGAGATGAGGAGAGGCCAGAGAACAGAGATGGATGACCAAGATCAGAGAGATGACAAAGGGATCAGAGGCCGCACGTACATGCACTAGACCATCGACCGGCACACAACAATGGCTGTTTGTGCTTTTTATAGTAACTCTGCATTGATGAACACAAAACAAAAGACTTGTTGAAAACCAATTTTCAACCAATTTGACCTAACAATGACGATGGCTTTCTCCCATTATATCCAAAATCCCAGTAACTGCAAGTCAAATTACAGCCAATATGTAATCTCATTTTTTGGAGATGCACTGTGCAATGTTTTTGGCCGATTACGACTCCCTGAAAAAAGGGACAAAGCCGAAAGAAAAAGAAGACGACTTCTGTTTCTTGCCATTAGCGATTTTGAGCTGGTTCTGATTTCCTCCAATTGACAGCATATCGAAAAGTGTTCTTCAGTGTAAAATGTAATTCTTAATTCAATTTCTTAATTAGGAAAACTGAATTACTTAACTACTTAATTAAAGTAATTATGAAACAATTCCAACCTGTGCAGTCAGTCACAGGTTCTCTCTTCAGTTCAACAACTTTCAAAATTAAGTGCTTGGTGACTGGAATGTGGTACTAGATGAAAACAGACTCCCATGCGTTCGACCTTCTGATAAATAACGCCTGTACAATAAGTCTGCGTTTATCCACTAATGAAGTGAAGTGACGAGAAAGTGAACTAATGTCACAACGAAATGTGACCTTTTTAACCCAAAGTGAGCAGGGGGCCGCCCCAACGCCGGGTGTGGGAAGGGCTCAGAGCACCTTAGTGGCAGCTAGCTTGGACTCACACCTGATACCTTCCGGACCAAAGTCCGCTTCCTTAACCACCAAGCCACCACTGCCTCAAATGGGTAGTAATACTAATGGTTAAACTAAGCATCGACATTAAACTTATGTTACTTGTCTAAATGTCAGTTGTAAAAAACTGCTTTAGAGTTAGCCCACAGCAGCTGCTAAATTAGCATGACAACACTTGATACTGAGAATCATTTGATCCCAATCATGATCAAAGCATCAAAGCAGCTCTAATTCTTTGTGCAGATTAGAGGGTGAAAGAGTTCCTTAGATACCATCAACTTTAGTTCATTCTATTTGACTAGTGTTTTTCTCCCCCAAATGTAGTAGAAGAGCCACTGATCAAAGCATTCTGTGTTAAAATTAGATCAAATGTTTTTGTTACAACACAATCCAAACCCATTTTAACTGTGACCCATGGAATAGGATGGGATCAGGATCTCATGTTGCTGCCTCTGTGATCAACTCTGTAGTTTACCCTGACCATCAC